TTTTAATCCTTTTAAATTAATTTGATACTCTATTTTATGATTACTAATTTGCTTTTAATGGTCGAAGGTATCATTTGACAACGTGGGATAAACTCATCATGTTTTAGAGTTACCAATGTCAAAGGGAAAAATATGTCCAGATAAGGGGCATATTAGTTAGGAGTCAAAAGTTAATCCCATAATTAATCTGATACATAATCATTCATAGTTCCAAATTTGGTAATTTTGGAATATACATGATTCTAATTACCCTTTCATATAATCCAATTTTAATGGACTAAAAATTCAACCTTTATGTTATCAAAAATGACCCTTTGTATTCTCGAAATGACAAAGTTATATATTGCCCCGTTCTTATTTAGTTGTTCACTTTAAAAATAACATAACAAATAATTAATATAGTGAAATTACAATTTTACCCTTATTAATTATGATTTCAAAAAGGGTGGATTAAAACTTAAAAACTTCCAAGAAGTTTAAATGAGAGTATAATAGAATTTTTTTGTGCTTTCTTGATTTATCAAAATTGACAAGTAAATAGAAATAACTAAAAAAGAATTATCGACAGATAAATAATAACAGGGAGTATCTTTCATGAATAAATTACGAAAAGATGATTTTTGTACTTTTGATTAAAATACATGTTATTTATTATGATAAAAATAATTTTATTAAAAATAAATCATTATAATTATAGAACGCCTTATTAATTAATTTTGTGGTCCATGCTAGAAATTTCGATAAAAAAATTACCATATTGTGGGAAAAAAAACATTACACACTTTTGTAAAGGTTTCTCTCATGAAAAGAAATCATGGTTTATAATCAAAAGGAGTTGACGGTGTGATTTTCTTAAAAAAGAAATAATTACTTTACGATTTTATCTTTGATATAATTCTTACCTCACGATTATCAGTGTTATAACAAATCTTAAATTTATAATATGTCAATAACATGAATTTTTTAGTTAATAAAAATAATTTGATATTTAAATTAAAATTATATATGACTTAAATAAAATCTAATAATATTTGGACCAGTCTATTAAATCGACAAGACGACCAACTCAACCGCAGATAGATCGTCCCTACGCAGAATATATGAATTATGATTTATTTTCTACATCACCCATTTCACCATTTGGCATTATTATGCTAAACAATAATTGCTTGCATTAACGTTCTAATCTTTTTCAACATTTTGTTTGTTTCTATTTTTAAACGCGTTTTTAATTGACTATATATCTGTTGTCACTTACCTGCCTGTGATGTACAATGTTTTCGAAGAATCTTCTTCATTCTTATATTATTATATGCCAAAGTTATCGTCGTTATATTATCTGCAAATTATAAAAATTACATATTTTAAAAGTAAAATTATACTATATTCCTTAAAAGTTTATAATTATAAAAATTTCTTAAGAAAGATGCAATAATATAAGCATTAATACATTAATCTAATATTAATTTGATGCGCAAGATACATTAATATGATTTTCGAGGTATATTTTATACATGATACACTAATTTGATGCGTGAGATATGTTTTATACATGATACACTAATCTGATACGCGTGAGATACACTAATCTGATGCGGGAGGTACATTTTATACATGATACACTAATATGATACGCGAGATACATTGATGTGATGCGTGAGATACATTAATTTGATGCGCGAAAATAAGAAATTTTGAAAATTTATAATACTTATAAGAGATAATGGTAATAAATAAATTAAAAGATAATCGATAGAGATCCGTATAATTTATGGAGTATATATCAATTTATTATTTTGTTTAATCGATAGAATTTAATCTATATATATTTGTCGTTATCGCTAGTTATTATACGTAAAAGAATCACAGGGTTGACCGCTTTAGAGTATGTTGCTATAGTGATGCAATGTGGAAGCTAACTAACGATGATGTAATTGATTAGATAATGATCGATATTTATTATTATGTACCTTCGATCCATATATTTATGGACGGATCTATATAGAAAGATAGAATGTTAGTGCCACGATACTTCAACATTACGTTATAATTTAACTTTTAATATATATATATAATATACGTACATATCCATATATTTTATGGATAAGAATTAGTATAATTTTAACCATACATCCACACAGAGAAATAATGAAGCCCATGGTGGTTGAAGTTCAGGTTTCCCTCCATAGGGATGCAAGTTTGAATCCTGCCACAACTAATAAATATTAAAATTAGCTATAAATTTCATTGCTAATGTTACTATATATTTCATTTATGGCTAACAAGAAATTCATCACGAACTAATTGTTAAATAGAATTAACGATAAAATTTAGTGTTTAATTATAAAATATTTCAGGCACTAAATTCAATTTTATATAAAAAAAGTAGTGCGGTGAGTTCATTTAAAATTTTAAAATTATCTTTGGATGCTAGATTCATTGTTAAAAATATATTGTAAAGTTGAAGCTATCTAAATTAGAATCTTAGACATCGATCTCTACTAATTAAGTACAATCTTAACTATACTAAATAGAGATGAATCTTTTGCAGAATCTTGTATGTTGATAAATAGTTAGCTTTTTTCTATGAATATTAACACAACTTTCTTAAATGTTACATTCATTAATGTTCAAAAGTAACGTGACATATTTGAACTTTCAAATTTTGAATTCGACTATATATATATATATTACATAACTTTAATTATACGAGCATTTATCTAAGCTATCATTTACATCATTGTAAAACATTTACTCTATTTTGACAATATCGATAAATAAAAAAGGACACTATCTTTTTTTTTTAATTAAAAATAAAACTAAAAATAAATTCAAAGTTGTCAAAGCATGTATAATATACATTGGAGGTAGTAAAATTTTACTCTATTTTGACATTTTCTCAAACCAAATGAGTAAAAATGTTTGAAATATTATTTTTTTTGGGTTAAAAAAAATGTTGAACTTACTAACTACTTAATTAGCATCAAAGCTAATAATTTATGTTATGACTAAGCATTCCATTCGCTTTCCTAATATTCTTAATTTTCGAATATTTGGACTTAAAAGTTAGCATTCTTCAAAGCAATCAATCATTTGGAATAAAATGATTAAGAGTATCAAATAATTCCTAATTTGTGGTGTATTATAACTTGTCTAACTAGCATATTAATTTCAGTCTCAAATTAAACTTCTCACTCTACTTTTACAAAAGATAAATGTAAGAAAAGACAAGATTATAATTCGTATATTCTGCTTATGAATCGTTTGTAAATAAAAATTAATCTTAGATGTAGAAGTGGAAGTTAATTAATTATAGAGTAGATAGATACCTATATATCAAGCTAGAAAAATTCTTCTTCATTTTTGCTTCTATTTTTTTTTTTTGGTCAAAACACCAATCAATTGAACTAATTAATAAGTAAAGGAATCTAAAACTCTTAGTCAAGTCCTGTTCATAAACTAAAACTTTTTGAAAGGTTTATCAATATTCTTTTGTTCCAAATTCTTGTAAACGTGTTTAATATTCCATTTTAGTGCTAATTTATGATAAGTTGGAACATGCCACTCAAAAATGAAAATTCTCAAAATTAAAGGTTTCATCTTTATCTAGTTGTGCATGAACCATAAACTACCTTTTGTGCAAGAAAAAGAGAGTCCATCTTGGAGGGCCAATATTTTTTTCCCCACAATTAGCGCAAAAAAGGTTTAGCTAAAAAATAAATAATATTTTCTCCATATTCCAGTAAGTACTCCATAACAAAAAGAAGAATTTATTTTTCCCATCTTCACCCTAAAATTTTGTTATATACTCATAAAGTTTACATGTGCAACTGATATACACTAATGGTGATGGAAGCTAGTCATGTCATGAACAATTTAGGTATGTATTGATAGCATACAAACAATACCACTTCTAGGCATGTATATGGATAGATTCACTATTTTAGCAACGTTATTGGACATTGCAGGAATAACTAGTTTTTTATTTTGTATAATATATTGTTAATAATCCATATCGAGTCTGTCTGATCAAATTACAACATACTTTAGTTCCGTCATTATATTATATATATGGTGAGTTATTAATTTATTTCTCATATATTGTTTTGCACAAAAAAGATACATGTATACCTTCAACAACAATAAGAATGAAATCATAAGTCAACTCTTGTATTTAAAGAATTTCGAAATATATGTCTAACCACCTCAACTTTCTGTTTCTAGGGCATACTATAATTATTTGAAGTCTCTCGACAATGAGATCGGAAAATAATTGCCGATAAACTAGATGCTTCATCAACCATATTCAGCTTTAAGACATTTCGATATATAATTTTATTTTTAACCCTTTTTGGACGGTAACTTTCCTATAAAAAATTGAACCCCTCTCACCAAAGGTAGACATGCCTTTATCTAATAATTTATAATATTCAACTAATATAATACTAGGGCAAAAGACATAACTATACCAAAAAAGAACCTATATAAATAAATAAACAGTATATGTAAGTTAAATTCGTCGATACGATTTTAAAAAAGAGATAGATATATTGATTATTGATCATGTTGAATATGAAGTAGGGTTGTTTGGTGAAGTTTTAGGTAGGAAATTTTAGGAGGTAACGTAACCTCTATACTATAATGATGTTCTTTAAGGAAGTAACTTGGAAGGAGATTTGATGTTTTCTTCTTTGTCATGGCAATTCCAAATTTGTAAAAAGACCGACCAAATTCATCAAACAATACAAAATATGACTATATAAGATAAAGACCATTGAGTCAACTTAAGGATGGAGTATTCTATTTGCAAAAAATATGTTTGTTCAAAGTTTTCAATGAATGATATTAGCACAAATATTTCATTTTCAATGGTTAGGACCAAATGCAAAAAGGCAATTTGTGGGGACCTTTTTTTTTATTTTTTATAATTGGAGGGGTGGGTGGGGGTGGGTGATACAAGATTTGTGATAATATATAAGCACATTAGAAGGTGCAAAATATACACCATCATTTCTTGGCCTAAAAACCATATTATAACACCCAAAATTTCCTACTATAGTATTTTAGGTAAAGATTTTAAGAAATCTTTTAGTAGAAAATTATAGTTTTTCAAATTCTCCCACTACTCTTGGCTCCAAAGACTTTTGGCCCCCTTTTGACCCTAAATTTTTAAACAACAAAATTCAATCTCTTCTTTTATATAATACATCTTTTCTTAAACCATTCTTGTACTTAAAAACTCCAAATCTCACAAAAACACACACTTGAGAATATGGCACCTGAATTTCAAAAGAACGCTATGTATGTCTCGAATGAACTCGAAAGTGGAGACGTTCAGAAAAACTTCGATGATGATGGACGTGAAAAAAGAACAGGTGACATATATTATTTTTAGAATCACTAATAATCACCTCATGTATAAGTCATTATTATTACTGACTATAAATTCTGAATTCGTCTCTGCAGGGACTTTGTTGACTGCGAGTGCACATATTATTACTGCTGTGATTGGTTCAGGAGTACTTTCACTAGCATGGGCTATAGCTCAATTAGGATGGGTGGCTGGTCCTGCTGTTCTCTTAGCTTTTTCTTTCATCACATATTTCACTTCTACACTTCTTGCTGACTCTTACCGGTCTCCGGGACCGATTTCCGGCAAGAGAAACTATACTTACATGGACGTTGTCCGCTCTCACTTAGGTACTTTTCAATGCGTATAACTTAAATTCATACAACGTAGCGAATTCCTCTGTTTCAAATGCTCCAAAGAGTGGAAGTACATATTTGGAAGCTATGTCAAAAATATTTATTTTATCAATATACATATCGTATTTTTGACATTTTGTTTATATTTTTGGTTTAAAAAAAAACAGGAGGTGTGAAGGTGACATTGTGTGGAATTGCACAATATGCTAACCTTGTTGGAGTAACAATTGGATATACAATTACAGCATCTATTAGTATGGTGTAAGTGCAAATATTTATTAAAAGTTGTACTTTTAAAGAAAACATCAAGACCTTTTTGTTAATATCTTTGACTAATTTGATATTATGACAATGACATAACTACTCTAATAAAATAAAGGTTAACTAAAATACTTATTATTTTTTGTGAATTTTAAAATTTTCAGGGCTGTAAGGAGGTCAAATTGTTTTCACAAAAATGGGCATGAAGCAAGTTGCTCAATTGGAAGCTACCCATACATGATAATATTTGCAGTAATTCAAATAGTTCTTAGCCAAATTCCAAATTTCCACAAGCTCTCATGGTTATCAATTCTTGCTGCTGTTATGTCTTTTACTTATGCTTCTATTGGTCTTGGACTATCCATAGCCAAAGTCGCAGGTATTATATATATATATACATTGACAATATAAAATATTTTTATATTAAAATCAACTGTTTGTGTATATAGTATTGATGTATAAAATTTAAACTCTCGATATAATATAGGTGTGGGGCACCATGTGAAGACAACCCTAACAGGGGTGGTAGTAGGTGTGGATGTATCTGGAACAGAAAAAGTATGGAGAAGTTTCCAAGCTATTGGAGATATTGCATTTGCTTATGCTTATTCCACGGTTCTTATTGAAATACAGGTAACCTTAGTTTTATTATCATATATCTTTTTTTCATATTTTATAATCTATAGTTTTATTATCATATATATTTTATAATTGATTAGTTGATGTTTGTCTACATGTGAACTTGTATCAATTATGGGTAGCAATTGCACATGCCCACTATACACCACACACAACATATATATGTGGTCACACTTGTGTAGTATGCATCGAGTTTATCGAGTCAGTTAAACTTATAAAATATATAATTTATGTATATGTTTCAGTATTTTTTTTATATGAACAGTCGAAATGATTTTTTGGTAAATAAAACAAAAAATCATAAAACTAATTCCTTTGGAAGAAACACAAGAAATAATTCTATAATTGTTCATTATTTTTGCCTTTTTAAATCGTCTAATCCTGACATTCTTGACTTTCAATCCATAGTGTTTTACTTTATTATATTTCATTGTTCTAAAGATAATAAGTATATTACTTACTTATTAAATACTAAAAAAAATTAGAAAGATAATATTTTATTTCTCTATCCTAACCACACCCTTTATTTCAAAATTTCAATAATATACTTATATGATCCATTAAATCATTCATATTCATATAAGTATTCAATAGGAGTCTTTTGTCATACCATTTAGTACAAGATCTTGACTCCCCAATGACTAGTATATACCCCACTTATTAATTCATTCTCACTCAAACAATAAAATCAGAGGTACTTAGTTGAAATGTGTGCCTCACTAATTAATGAAAGCTTTGCATTAAAGTGTACAAAATCTATTTTTTTATTTTTATGTATATATTACTACTATATATATATACTCTTCAGTAATCAGTCTGTAGACTATAGTCAGCTAGCCACATGTTCGGTTTTGGAGCATTACGAATCACTATGGTCCATCTTTTATTGCTATTTTTTTAAAAAAATAATCTATAATAGTAGTATACTAAAAAATGTCTATAGTATATGTTTTTGAAAATAATTTCTTTTATCTTTTAAATTTATATATATATAATTCAATCTTCTGCGGACCTTACGAATTAAATTATACTGAATAAATTATTATTAACATTAAAAATCAGTTGTTCTTTATCTTTGTTTCTTTAACTGAGAGCCACAGCAAAACTCACGAGCACTGTTTTATCTTTAATTAACAAGGAATAACATTAAAGTAGAGGACAACAGAATATGTAGTTAATTTTTTCCCTTTTCTTTCTTTCGAATATGATGTTTCATAAAGCCTGTATAGTAATATAAAGGAATATATTTAGTACTTCCTTAGTGTCTACTTTTTAATTTATTTGTTTGTTTTAACGTGAGATTGAGTTAAAATAAATAAATTAGACTTTTAAATTTTATAATTTTAAACGAAAGGTATGTAATATGTGTTAAAATATCTTTTAATCTTATAATTTTAAAAGCGATAGTTTTAATATTTAAAAATTATCAATAAACGGAAAAACACTTTTTTTTTAAAAAAAAAACAAATTGAATTGAAAAAAATATATAATATAATGTATGTTATTCCTCTTGGACCAGAAAAAAGATGGACCACGAGTTTGGGTTATTGATTCTGTATGCTTTTTCACAAAAAAATAAAAGTGAAAAACCTCTCTTACGCCTCTTATCATTTCATAACAACCATCCTTTTTTTCTTTTTGTACTATTATCCGATTTACGATGACCTCAAATTTTTATTTTTGTGACATCTTTTGTTGTTTTTTGTTATATGATGTAAATTTAAAGCAAGAATTGAGTTTAATGGACCCCACTCTCACTTCATGTTCATTGTAATAATAATAGAGTAATCTTGTTTGGTAACTTTTGATAAATAAAATAATCTGTTTAGATTTGAAAAAACAACTAAAATCTATGAGATAATTTCTGATTGGGTAAAAAGCAAAATAACCGTGAGAATGGAACACAAACCAAATTATACTGTGGACGTCGTTCTATTATGATAAAATGATTCATATAAGTTATATTACTTGAACTTTTCAAAAATATTGTCACATCCATGTTAAATCTAGATAAGTATACTACTACTACTTTTGAAGTATCAGAAGCAAACGTATTGATTAATCGGCTCTTTAATTACAGGACACACTGAAATCATCACCACCAGAAAGCAAGGTAATGAAAAGAGCCTCACTAGCTGGAGTTTCCACCACAACCTTATTCTATGTACTTTGTGGTACCATTGGCTATGCAGCCTTTGGAAACGATGCTCCAGGAAATTTTCTTACTGGATTTGGTTTCTATGAACCTTTTTGGCTAATTGACTTTGCCAACGTCTGCATCGCTGTCCACCTTATCGGAGCTTATCAGGTAACCTTACGACTTATAATCTTAAACATATCACGTGAAGAAAAGTTACTTTTTTTTTTTTTATGAAAAGGACTAAAAAGAAAAGTAGAATCTAACGAATGTATCATCCTTGCTTAGGTTTTCTGCCAACCATTATATGGATTTGTGGAGGCTCGTTGCAGCGAACGCTGGCCAGACAGCAAATTCATCACCTCAGAATACGCGATGCAAGTTCCATGCTGTGGAACTTACAACCTCAACTTGTTCAGGTTGGTTTGGAGAACAACCTATGTTATAGTGACAGCGGTGATTGCGATGATATTCCCCTTCTTCAACGACTTCTTGGGGCTGATCGGAGCAGCATCGTTCTATCCATTAACCGTTTATTTCCCAATAGAGATGCACATTGCTCAGAGAAAGATACCAAAGTATTCTTTCACATGGGTATGGCTGAAAATATTGAGCTGGACTTGTTTGATCGTATCACTTGTGGCAGCTGCTGGATCGATCCAGGGACTTGCAACTGATGTTAAGGGTTACAAGCCTTTCTCAACTCATCAATAAGTTTTAAAAACTGTTCAAATTATTGAATATGTAATCTTATCAATAACAAGGGTAATGCAAGCTGAAATGGGGCTCTATGTTATTATTTTTATACAGTATGCTTCTTTTACATGGACTCAATCTGCTTCATTTATCCATCATAAAGAAAATCATCTAAGTTACCCATCCCGCTACTTAAAAGAGCAGACTTCATCAAAATTCACAATGTTGTAAATCACAAGGGGCAAGTATGACGAAGAAGAGAGATTAAAAAAGAAAAAGAAAAAGATGGTCTTCAAGCTACACTTTATAAAATTTAGAACAGGAATGGCTCCATCATATTTGATGGACAAAAAGACAGGGAAATCTGTAAATATCTGCAAACAAATATGTTTTGAAAAACCCATCCCTTCCTCTTCCTAGAATGATATGATGTTCTGTTTTAGCCAACTAGTAATACTTCTAATTCCCTAACATGCATTTTTTTCTATTTTTCCTTGTCAAGAGTTTGCTGCCCTGCGAACTGCTAAACCATATCTTCCAGTTGCCGTCAACACCAAATTCCAGCTTCGGCACACTGTATAGAACACCATAACAATAAGTTTTCTGATATAAGTTAAATGAATTCACAATGACAAAAGAATGGAAAAGGGAGTACATAACTGCTCTCCATTCAAACAGCTCGTGAAAACAAATGTCATTCAATTTGAAGTCCACAAGATTGAGAAATTACCTACACTGCCACCAATTAAGCACCTTCAGTCTCGACCATGACAAATGCTTGAATGAGACTCTGAGCAGCATTCGTCTGCTCAGGCGTCCCAGATATAATGATCACACTCTCTGTTGCTCCAGGCTTGGGATCATTTATGGTGACTTTCGCATCAGAAATCTATAAAATAATTAGTCAAACTTAGAGTCAAATAATAGTATACTTTCATACAACGCAACAAATTTGTACTTGCCATGAATGACACTTTGTAGGCGTTCGATCATGGATTTGACTGAAATATGGAAACATTAGTTATATTGCCCTTGAAAAATGTTAATTAGAAAGTTGAAGTTGTGTGAGCGGAAAAAGATTTTTCAGTTATTAAGCTTAGCAAAAGATCAGTCTAATGTATAACCAAACAATGTTTTGAACAAATGAAGCTATGGATATACTATTTTTTTAAAAGAAAATGGTAAAAAACTTCTTTTCAGTAAGCCTCCCATCTTTTCTGATATTGAAAAACAAGGAGCAGAACATGTAGAGAAAGACACGAGGGCATCTTGAAAGTAAAAGTTAAGAAGAGAGAAAATGAATACCCAGACCAAATAGGGTATAAATATGTACAAAACGACGACCATAATATTTTGTCAATCAGAAATAAAAGGCAGAACGCAGGAAATAAGGTATAATGTGAATAAGGGACATAACATCATACCTCACATATTTGTCGAAGACATCCCCCACCTTCTCCATAGATTGCAGGAATGACAGATCGAGGTACAACAACTTCCACGGTAGTGCTTGTGATCACAGCGGGATTACTTGCTCTATATTAATGAAATTCACGTGTAACAGAGACATACATATGTCATTGATGTATAATAGAAAAGGCAGTTCATAAATGAACTCTTAAAACATCAAGAAGAAAAAGAAAGCAAAATGAAAGAGTCTGGTCGTGATTTAGAAAGTACAGACCCTCCAAAGCTGCCAATATTTCGAGGACCTCCTGCATAGTCTGGGAAGCCTAGATGTCCCCCACCTTCACCCCGTCCCTGCAATTCAGTTCAGATAATTAATATTTCTGATGTTTGTCACTTTTTTGGATCTTTATTTTTTATTCGAGCAGAAAGAAGAAGTGCTCTAAGACAATTGTGACACTCACTTTAAATTACATTATGAAAGCAACAAGCATATGGTTACAAGTACATAAGGTGGAGCAGCCTATATATAAAAATCAACCAACTCCTACTATAAAAGTCACAAGAAACTAGAATGGTAGAACTAACTGCAATCAAATGCTACCTGAGAACCCCATGGAGCTGAAGATGGCATTCTATCAGAAATATGAGGTGGAACGCCTGGCCTATGGAAATTTTGCATGAAGGGAGGACGATCATCATGTGGATGGAAACCACCATGAGGAGGTAGAGCATCGAACTTGTGAAATGGTGGGCGAATGTTGGGGAACATGCCTGGAGGTGGTGAAAATTCTCTCCTTCCCACATGTGAAGGGAATGGAGGTACTTGGTCCAGAAACCCAGGGTTTGAAGGAAATGCATCACGAAAGTAATGATTCTGTAATCTGGCAGTTATCTGCAGAAGGGCTTCATGAACTTTTTCAACATCTCCATTTATCTGAGCAACCAAAGAGAAAAGTTAAAAGCAAGTTGAGAAGTAGGAATTAGGCCTGTCCTTAAACCAAACAAATGTTGCCATCACTCAAATCATAAAAAGGCTAGCAATAAATCCTCTAAATATGCAAAAAAAAAAAACTAGCCAATTTTTTTGCTTATTAACATCACTCAAATCATAAAAAGCAAAAAGTACCTGAATTACTTCTTCATTTTCCGCAGCAAACTTTGGGATTTGATCCTTGCCTACAATACGAATATACGCTCCAGTTGATTTCCTCATTTCAGCTATTATACCACCACCTTTACCCAAGAGACACCCAATTTGATTGGAGAACACCAAGAGTTTTGCAACCATAACATTGTCCTGATTCTCAGGTGCAGCCCTAAAAATTCGGGATTGGATGCGAAGGACAGCATCTTGCGGCAAAGATATTCTATCATCTGGGAACTGCATAGATAGGATGGCCATAGCCTCTTATTGTTAGGTTACAGAAAATCAAAGAAGCATGATAAAGAAGAGGAAAGAAGAAAGAGTAACAACTTTAGCAAAAGGAATGACCCCCCCCCCCCCAATGCCAATTAAAGGAAATCCTGGAAAAAGAAAGCAAACAGAGAGAAGTAACAAATCATACCGCTGGACCAGAGATGACAATAATTCGATCTTCAGAATCCCCTGTGCTTTCCAGAACTTTGATTTGACACCCAGTCTCATGCTGAAGTGCTTTAATTATACTTCCTCCCTTTCCAATTATACCTCCAACCTTTTCGTCTGGACAAAGTAATCTGAAAGTCAAGGCATCCGGAATATGATTCATTCGACCAGGTATACCAGCTTCCCCAACACGAAATCCACCAGAGGAAGCAGGCCCCTGCCCATGGTAAGGACGTGCTGACGTTGGACGTAATTCCCGGTTAGATAGAGGACGTCTAGGAGACTGTGAAGATGGGCCACCAGCATCAGCAGAGAGAAAATCTTGATCCCCAGAGGAACTCTCAAGTAATTGTCGAGCAACCATTTCAAGAGCTTTTTTAACTGCATCATGCTCCCCAGATATCTGCAACATAACAATTAGGAATGTCTCCAGAATTCTGGTCAATATGAAAAGATTTGACTAAGAGAGTACTGCATAAAAGCAGCAGACAATACAGAATGATCAACACTGTGAAACGTGAGACAGGAAATGAGACGTCGATGAAGCAGTATTCCCTGTGGATCAACAAGTAAGAAGAGTATGCAACATTCTCAAATTGAATTGTATAGATACAAAGGCCATTTTCTGTCACTAAAGTTAATCAGAGAACTTCCTAACGTAGAATACTGTTATATCAATAAGACCTCTCAAAACATCATGACAAGCACAGACAAGAAAACAGGCAGGATTCAAATACAACTCCGACAGAAAAATGGTCACATTGATGACAGTTAATGGCTAAGCTGAGTGAATCAAGTTGACTAATACTTGCAAGGAATTAATGAATAAATATCAACAAATATACCTGAACCAATTCATCTGATGAAGACGCACATGAAGGTAGTTTGTCCCTGGGAAGAATTCGTATCTGTGAACCACTTTCAGAAGACATCTTTTTTATCACACTACCACTTTTTCCTAGCAAACAGCCCACTTGGCTGGAGAGAACAAGCAATCTTATAATTAATGAGGAAGAATCATTACCCTCTTCATCTCCTCCATCCATTTCTGCTCTTCCAACCATCCTTTCAAACAACAAGAATAGAGCTTTCTGAATAGATTCAGTTTCCTTTTCAGTTTTGGAATTTTCTGCTGGAAGAGACGCCTTATTCTCACTATTTTCATCATTGCAATTGTCTTTTTCCTTGGTTTCACTCCCCTCAATATCAGCCTGGAACTGTTTGGTTACCACTTCATCTTCTTTTCCTGAACCTACAATAACTATCACCCTCTCATCACAACCAACAATACTATCCTCAACTCGAACCTCTGCACCTGTTTCCTCTTGTATCCGAGAAATAATGCTACTATCCTCTCCGATAAGGAAAATTATTTTTGAAGCAGGGCATAATATACGAACTTTCGCAGGTGATCTCTGGGAACTAAAAGATGATGATTTCTGCCACTTCCCTCGGCCATTTGTTTCTACAGGGCCCTGATCATGTGATCTCTTGGAAGGAGTCAACTTCATTGACATATCTGCAATTGTTTTTGTAACAGACGCTCATTTCAGGAAATAAGACTATGGAGGATGTAACAGAAAGGAATGGAATGATAGACTATAGAGGATGTGTGAGAAAAGTATGGATTTTTTTATTTTTTTGGGGAAAAGGTAAGATAATTGGGTACATGATCAACCAGAAGAATCAATTTAGTAAGGCCTGAACACATGAATGAAAATATTATCAATCAAACTCCTTAGCGCCACATTGTTAGTGACTTCTGAAAATTGTACGCGCTATTCTTTTATATATGATCAGTAAGACACGTTTATCAGAGAGTGACATCTGAATCAGGGAAAATGAATGTGCCGAGTACGAACCCTAGAGATGACCAACAACGCATAGTTCAGTCTAAGCATTTGGTATTCGAACTACGCTCCACCACTATTTTGTGGTATTTTTTTAATACCTTCTCACCTAAACCCTTTGAGTGCACTTCATATGTACACTTTATGTAATATAAATCTATGCACTAGGCTTGCAAAAGCCCAAACCCGAGAAATCAGATTTCAGCTGAAGCTTTAAAAGACGAACTAGCAAAAAATTAATCAACTGTCTATGATATAAACATCTATCCTATTCAGTTCCATGGAATTCCATACCTATACATTTGCTAGTTAGAATCTGCACAAGTTTGAAGTTTTAATAGAAAAGTGTTTGTTTTATAACTTTAATTTTAGCAGTACCAATTCTATACCTACACATTTGCTAGTTACAATCTGCACAAATTAGAAGCTTCAATACAAGTTTTTGATTTATAACTTCAATTTTAGCAGTACCAATTCAGCTACATTTAGCTTGACCACTCAGTGAAACTAAAAGTATGAAATCGAGAAAAACTTCAAGAGGAAACCGAAAGAGTAAAGGAGAATTAAGAGATTCAGCATTTTTACCAGCTTCGTCGGAAATATGATCGGACCGCTTCAACGGTGGAGTAGGGTTCTGCTAGCAACGCCGTAACGGTGAAGATAAACCTAAGTATCCGGCGGAGCTCAGGGAGAGTGGTGTTATATCAGAAGGTTTCACTTTTGTTCTAAGTAGTAATTTTTAGGGATTTTACCAATTTATTTCCATTAAGATTGTCAAAAAAATAAATTCCATTAAGTACTTACTCTTTTTTTTTTTTTTTTTTTTGCAAAATAATATTTATTTTCAAACTATTTCTTTTCTTTTTCTTCTCTATTGCATTTCTAATAAAGAAAAAAAACTAAATAAAAAGGTCTTAACAAAAACAAAAGAGAATAAAAACCAATCTAGTAAAACATGTGAACTTGTTATTAGACTTTAGTATTACTTTGTGACCTCTATTTTGGATTTTACGAGTTTATTCATGTATATTTATTTCATTAAGTTCTTATTTTTTTGGTTAAAAAATATTTATAATCAAATTTCTTTTGTTCTTCCTCTCTTTACATTTTTAATAAAGAAAAATAAATAAATACAAAGGTATTAACAAAATATAAAGAGGATAAAAATTGGTCTTGTAAAAGATATGGATTTTGCTTCGGTTTATTAAATTTTATTATTTTGTGACCTCTATTTTGAATTTTACGAATTTATTCATACATATTTATTTTCATTAAGTCCTTACTTTTTTAAAAAAAATAAATTATTTTTCGAATTTCTTTTCTTCTTCTTCTCATTTAACATTTTTAATAAAAGAAAATAAATAAATAAAAAGGTGTTAACAAAAAATAAAAAATAAAGAGGGTAAAAATTGGTCTAGTAAAAAATGTGAACTATGTTTATTACTTTTGACCTTTATTTTACATTTTACTAATGTCGAAAGCTACAACAAATATGTGATAAGCTCACATTTCTTAGCCTTTGAATATTAAATAAATTATCATTTTTTGTTATTTTTTATATTTAAAAAATCATAAATTTTATTAACTTTGAAATAAAAGAGCCAATTTTTTTGAGTTTCTTTAGTGAAACTTGTCCTCAAAGACTCCGAAAATTTTTAAAACCATCTCCATAAATGATACAACTATAACACTATAACAAAAATAACTTTTAGCTACATTAAATATTGACATTTATAAAGAGCGTTAAAGTCTCTGCCGATATTAGTTAAGTGTCATTAGAATCAATGTCGCTAAAGGCTTTACGGACATATATAAAGATTGTCAATTGCCGCTAAAAATACATATTTAGCAGTAATTGAGAATTAATTGCCGCTAATGATTATTTTTGTCGTAGTGTAATTAGAATATAAAATACAATTACTTAATTGTCAACTCAGCTCTATTAAATAATATTTAATTCAAATTAAGTTTTTTTTAAAAAAACTTGAAAATCTAAATGAATTAGTTTTTAATTTATGTTCTTTTATAAATTGATTATAAATTAAAAATCTAAATGAATTAGTTTTAAATTTATGTTCTTATATAAATTGATTATAAATTAATCAAACTTATATTTAGGAAAGTCATGTTTGAATATAATTTGTGAAATTTAATATATAAAAATTAAAATTTACACTCCAAAAAAACTACTCCCTCTCCATATAATGTTAAAAGGATTGTTTGGAGTTTATTTTTTCATAATTCTAAATAAGTAATTTTTTTAAAGTTTAATATAACTGATTGATTCCTTTTTTCTGTTTTTGCCCTTCATATACATTTTTTAGATAATAAATTCAAGGGAGTTAATTCCTCATATTCATGATTTTTCTTTAAATTATTTCTCTTTTAAAATAGTTTGTCAATCACCAAAAGTATAGAAATGGAAAATGCTATTTAATTTATGTCATAATTTTTTTCCTTTATAAGTATGTTTAAATTGATTTAAAAATTGGTCAAATTTATTTTTAATTCAGTTTTTGGTCAAATTTATTTGGTCAAATTTATTTTTAGTTTTATTTTTGGTCAAATCTATTTTTAATACAGATTTAAATATAATCTATTTTTAATTCTTTTTTTTTTTTGTCAAATCTACTTTTAATTTAACTTTTGATCAAATCTATTTTTAATTTAGTTTTTGATTAGATCTACTTAAAATAACTCAAACACCAAAAGTAGGTGTCCCTTACTACTTTTATTTTTTGACTTCAAAGTTTTAATTTGATTTTTTATTGTCAATTTAAAAGCTAGCTTTTTAAGTCAATTCAAACTTACTCCACGTATAAACTCACAAACTCACCTAATATGGATAGAAAGAGTATTTTTCTTATTATATAAAAGAGTTAAACGAAGACAAAATAGGTAAAAGTGTAATAGCATATTAACATTAATAAACTAATAGAAAAATTGACTTTTAATTTATTATTAATTATTAATATAGAAAAAGGAGACTTTCATTTCCTTAGCCAACCAAGACTAGTATAAATAGAGTCACAGACAACTTTTTTTTATCTTGTCAAAAGTATATTTTTTTATACAAATTTGAAAAGAAAAAATCTCATCAATGATCGGAAGCAGCAACAATGTTGATGAATCACAAAATCTCTCATTGGATAGTTCTAATGAATCGGGCAGTTCATCGCGGATCGTTATGGCTACCCCTAATGAATTGGTTCCACCAAAGTGGGCTGGGACAAAGTTGCTGAGTGAAGAGGGTCGCATCTATCAGAAGATAAAGGATGGACTACCTCCTATTATGAAAAATCGCGTTACAATCACAGCAATTCATCTATGCATGAGAAGAGTTCCAGTGGAAGAGTCGCGATTTGAAGTTTATCTAGAGAATGTGAAGAAGGTAACGAGAGCAAGAGGTCGTAGAGTTGATAGCTCTGGTTGGTACGGGACATCAGCAAAAAATGTCGATAGTCTTATGCGTCGTGGGTTTGAAATGAATAGTATTATGCCTGCTTCTTATCCTCATGGTGTTGGTATATACTTGTCTCATTTCTTATCACCTCAAATAAGGTACCTACACGTTCTTCATTTTTTTGGTGTTTTTCTTAATTATTCCTTTTCATTAATTGTTTTTTTTCTATTTAACTCTGTGCAGTGATATGATGTCTGATATAGATGAAAACGGTGAAAAACATATCGTTTTATGTCAATTTATATTAGGAAATTCGGAAAAGGTTGAGTTAGGATCTAAGCAATTGTTTCCATCGAGTGCGAATTTCGATACCGGAGTTGATGAGTTAACAAATCCAAAGGTGTATGTGGTGTGGTGTGGTGTGGCAATATGAACACCCACATTCTACCTCGATATATAATTAGTTATAAACCTATTCATCATCATATGTACTTAGGTAAATATTGCTCCTTTTTATTTTTATTCATAATTAGTTACAATTACTTTTGAATATCGAGACTCAAGTGCCAATATACAGGTCGACTAACTTGTGGTGGTCATGCTGATAACACATGGACTAGATTATTATTCAAGCTACATAATTTTCTTACAATATCACAAAGGCTGGAGTTGAGAAAATTGTGTATGTCCTATGGGGTAAGTTAGGATTTCCCTTTTTTAACACTAGGTATTTATTAATTTAAGAATTTATTATATATACATGTTGTGAATATTCTAGTTAATTTCAAGACCATTATATTATTCTAATCTTGAGTTTTTATAAAAATGATTCACAGGATGGCACACCAGTAGAGGAAGAAACATTCATGAGAGATTTAAGATCTGTTGTTCGTGATGATCAATTAATAGGTTCGATCATGCTGGAAATTTCATCCTAAAGTACTTTTAGTAGTGTCAATTTTTATTATGGATAAAATGGGATGTATGGACTTTTTTTTTCATTAAGAACTGGTGAAGGGCATGAAATAATACTTTATGAATTTATTGAATATAATATATTTACTTAACTATTCCTTTTAGAAAAGACTTGGTGAAGCATCAAGCACTTCTGCTTACAGTTATTCTCACAAATGAGAGACAATATTGACGATTTCTTATATGAGTATCATTCAAGATTGTTCATTAAGAATTTAGGTTAGGGTTTATTTTTTCTAATAGATATTTTTTCTATTCATGCTACAATATAATTATGAAAGATATATTTGAAATGTAGCGTAAAGTGAAGGCACTCGCTGATAAATTAGGCTTAAAAAAGAAATAAACAGTAAATTGTTGATAAATGTGAAACTAAGTTGACAGATTCGACAATGAATTAACTAAGTTGGAAAGCAATTAACAACAAATAATTGATGAAACATTATGATATTTACTAAATTATAAATTTACACACCATGAAGAAATAATTATTATGAGAGATAAGATAGGGACAAAAGTGTAAAATAGTGATACATGATGTACATGATCGATATTTATTAAAACGCTTCAACTAAGCCTAGACGTTATCTATGGCGTGCAATCAACTCTACCACCTCAATGACACCATAGAATGTGTAACCAATATGGTGCACAACTCTAAGTTTGAGTTCTTTTTTACAAAGTGTAAATGAGTCTAAATTTCAAATAAAACTCCCTAATAGCTCGTAGGCCCTTACGGAGTCATTTTGGTTCACAACAGTAAGCATCCGCCGATAAATTAGGGTTGTTGCAAGAAAAGAAAAATGAATAGTAAACCTTTGATAAAGGTAAAACTAATTTGGGTATTCCTATTTACTTGACAGATTTGATAATGAATTAATGTAAGTTGAAAAACAATTTACAACAAATAATTGATAAATGATACTAAAATATAAACTTGAAAATCATAAAGAAATAAATATTGCGAGGAACATATATTAAAGAAAAATATAATATGGGAGCAAAAGTGTAAACTGATGACCAATTAACAAAAAAAATAATATTTCATATACGAAGCGACAGTATAACATAGGATTTAGGACAATATTAATTATTGTTCTAACAATAAAATATTAAATTTGACCATATTGTCAAAATTTAATAAAAAATAGAGAAAATTGTAAGAAATTCAAATCCTCATATAGAAATAATTTTATTAATAATATGAATTATGGTAATCTAAGTATAATTAGTAAGTCACAGTTACATTTTTATATACCGTAAATTATCCTTCTATAAACAAACCTTACCCCCTAAAATCAAGGGCATGATCGTCATTTTTAAGATACATGTGATATGGAAAAGAGGTGAGCGAAATTTGTTATGCATTCATATACATATATTTGGACATTCTGAATGTATCTAGACGCATAAAAAAACTGTAATATTGCAAATTAATGTATATCTAAATAATTAACTCCTTTGACTATTTAGATTTATGTGAATATAGTCAATAGTAACATTTTTATACTACCCGAAATATCCTTTCCATAAAACATTTATGCCCTCTAAAATCAAGGATATGATCGTCATAATGTAAATATAATTACTAAGTCACACTTTTCACACTTAAATTTTATACTACCTGAAATATCCGTTTGTAAACAAACCTTACACCCTAAATTCATGGGTACGATCGTCATTTTTGAGATACATGTGAGTTGTAAAAGAGGCGAGTTGAGACTCGTTATGTATTCATATATTTCTATACTACCTGAAATATCCTTTTATAAACAAGCCTTACACCTTAAAATCAAGGGTACGATCGTCATTTTTGAGATACATGTGAGTTATAAATGAGGTTAGCTGAGACTTTATATACATGTGAATCCATTAGGATCCCATATATTTGACTCTATGTATTTGGACATATCTGATTGTATCTAGACATATAATAACATGATTAGAACAATAATATTATAAATTAATATGTATCTAAGTAATTAACTCCTTTTTTGACTAATTAGATTTATGTGAATATATAATGAGTAGACACACTTCTCACAAGTCACATTTTTCTACTAGCTGAAATATCCTTTCCATAAAACATTTAGGCTATTGATTTTTCTTCTGCTAAATTAAGTTATTATTTTATCACTAGAAGAGATGATGAGTAAAACAGCGATTGTTAGCGGAAACATCAAGGATGGGAAGTTAAAATTGAGAAATGAGGTACTTCCGTTGGGTAGGTGGCCTGATCATGCTCAGTTACTGTATCAGAATCGCCACAACTTCAAAGAGAGTGGTAAACCGTTGAGTTTCAAGATGTATAAGGATGGATCGTGGATGGATTTCGAAAAACATGCGATGGATGTGCTCATTTCAGCTTTCGTGAGTGGTAAGGCTATAATTGAGGTGGAAACGGAAGCTGGATTTAAATTATTGATTGATTTTTATCGCATGTTTGGGATAGATTTGGACACTGGGAACGAACTGCCAATCTCTTGGATTGATGTCAATGAAAACAATTTTATCCCTAAAATCTTCATTGACGATTTAGAAAATGAGAATCCTATGATTGAAAAGAGGGGAACCGAAGTAGGCAGTTCATCGCAACTTGTTATTGCTAACCCTACTGAATTGACTCCACCTAAATGGGCTAGGACAAGGTCAATGAGGGAAGAGGAGTACGCCTATCAGACGGTAAAGGGTTACCTGTTGTCTTCTCGTTCAGGGGTTACAATAACTGGGATTCATCAGTGTATGATAAGCGGTGTTAGGGAACAAGTTTTTAAAGACAACATGGAGATAGTAACGAAGGCCAGAAGGAATCCTAAAGTTGTACTTGCTTGGTATGGTACATCGTCCAAGAATGTGGACGCCATAATGTATCGTGGATTTGAATTAACTAGACTTGAACAAGGTCATCGTGGTATTGGCATATACTTGTCGCCTTTAGAGTCGCCTCAAATAAGGTGAGTTGGTTCGTTTTTTTTGTGTTTTCTTTATTATTTAAAAATGTTGGAACATTAATTATTTTTTGTTACTGCTGTAGTGAAATGATGTCCGATGTAGATGAAAATGGTGAAAAACATATGATTCTATGTCGAGTCATATTGGGAAATCCTGAAAAGGTTGAGCTTGGATCTCAGCAGATGTTTTCATCGAATTTGGATAATTTTGATACCGGGATTGATGATTTGATCCATCCAAAGTTGTATGTGGTGTGGTATCACAATATGAAAACTCACATTCTACCCGAATGTATTGTGAGTTATAAACTTGATCGTCATATGCCAGGTAAGCATCGCTCATTTTCGTTATTTATCAGTTTCAATTACTTTTGGTAATACTCAAGTATAAATACAGGTCAGCAGAATTATGGTGCTCATAATGAGGACCGATTTTGTAGATTACTATTCATGCTACCTAATTTGCTTCCACTAACAAAAAAGTTGGAGTTGAAAAGTTTGCATAACTCCTATGAGGTAATTTACTATATATATATATATATATATATATATATATATATATATATATATATATATATATATATATATATATATATATATATATATATATAGTATATATATATTATTATATATATATATACTATATATATA